CTCTCTCTCTCTCTCTCTCTCTCTCTCTCTCTCTCTCTCTCTCTCTCTCTCTACTTGAGCTACATCTATATCTCGCCCATCGTCCGTCTTCCGTAGAATCCGTGTCAAGACTTCAAGATCTTTGGAGTGCTTTGACGTAGGTACAAGCGGAATTAATCATTTCGCGCAATAGTAACTACCGCCGAGTTATTTCTACGGCCGCGACTGTATAATTACGACGGGCTCCTCGCATGAGATGTCTGTTTATACTTTATTGCGAGCTCGTTCCTTCTTTACTTATTCGATGCCCACGTACCTAAAAACTCGCAAAAAGAAAGTTCTTGCTTTATATTTCTTGACAACTCTCAAATTTTATTTCATAAAAAAAATATCTCTTTAATCCTATATGTATATATGTATAAACGAAAATATACATATAAAATTAATAAAATGTAATTAATATTTTACGAAACTATAAATGTTTAATTATGTTATTATATATTACATATTATTTGGTTCTATGTTTTTTATTTCAATTTTAAATATTTTAAATACTTAATCTTAATAATAAAAATAATAATAATAATTTTCATATACATTTTGTTCCATTATTACTAAAAAATACTAAAAATTATTTAAAAATTCTTCGTGATTTTGTTTATTTGCAGATTATCCTACCTTTCTGCAAAAGTTTCTCATTAGTTATCATTAAAATTAATTAAAAACACGATTTTCTTTCATCGCATTAAATTTTTAGTACGCAAATCTATCATAATTATTTATAATTTTGTCATTTATTCAATGACGTTCGCGTATGCCAGTACTAAATATAACGATCCCCGCGCATGGGAACTCTCGTCCCGACTTTTGATGAAGCGATCTGATTCGCATCAATACGCGCGATTTGCGTCCACGGAAAGCCGGCCGCGACAATTTACATTATTAACGGCCGCCCGCGGGTAATATCGGAAATGGGAAGCGGAGCCCCATCGACGATGATGATTGCGCGGCGCATCATCGCTCGCGTTTACGTGCCTGTTTTATTAAAACGATGAACATATCGCTTAATTAGGCAAACCGATCCGACATGCTGGATCGATGCGTCACGGAACTTCCCGACTGGGGGTGATTCAACATTTCCGAATGCACCAACTCGCACCGGATTCCCCCGGCGGTGCGCGACTACTCTCGCGCGGAGTCCTCGATCGCGGGGCGAAAATATACGCGCGCCAAACTCTTGCCGAATAGCAATTCGCGAATATTATACCGAACGGTAGGTATATCAAATGTATAATCTATATGTCTAGAAATGTCAAAGGTTAAATCTTGGAATATTAGACATATACGAATATAATAATTCGAAGAGTAATCCTTTAGATTTCCGTGTAGGATATCATTTCAAAGTTACATTGTGTGTCATCCTCGTTTTGCGATTTCAGTCTTAAATCTCGAAATTTTCAAGAATTTGCTCGAAAAGTTTCGAACCGTAAATTCCATTACAATTTTGCGATAAGTATATATGGTCCGCGCCGCGGGTACGTTCCGTAATAGCAAAATTAACGTCAGTCGTGATCTGAATAAACGGATTTTTGCAAGCGAGAGATTACGGAGTAATCTTTCGCGCGGAATTAGAAAGACGGTCGTTTTCAAGCACGTGACGCCCGCGCCACGCCCGCGCCGCGGCGAACGTATTCCGAATTCGCAATACGCGACGCACAGGACCGACGATAGCGGAAGGATATTATTTCTCGCTGTAAATTCGCTATCGATCACCCGTTTCGTCATCCTCGAGTGGCTCGTCGTTTCTTTTTCTTCGACAAGCGACATACGCGCGCGCATAACACACACACACACACACACACACACACACACACACACACACAATGTCGTCTTTACATCGCTTAGCGTAACACGTTTTTGTAATATACCAGAATAATAGATGTTCGTGAAAAATCGGGAAGAAATGTGAGCGAGGCGAAGTATATACCTATGTAATTGCGCGAAAAGTCAGGAAAAAAAAGAGGAAAACCTCTTACCAAGATAAACAAAATGAATATTTTAAATAGAATATTTTAAAGTAATATTTACAATATATACATACAATATATATATGTATATATACATTGTATATACAGTCACCAAACTAATTGACCGGACACTGCGTTAATATATCGATAATTTCTAAAAATTCAAGATAGAGCAACTTTGTCAAAAATTATCATAACATAACGATCGAAAAAGCATTTCACAGCTTAAAGTCTCTACTTTTGAAATCCATAATTCATTAAATGA